CCCCAAAACCCCAAAACCCCAAAACCCCAAAACCCCAGACAGCGCAACATTAGTTGAAAGTTAATGAGAGTACAGCCCATAGTTGAATGAAGTATTTCTGACTTTTAATAAGAGTTTTGACAACTCTAAAATAGGGTCGATATTATCTAAGGTCTCTTAAAACAAAATTAATAGCTCTTCAAGTTGGTAAGATTACATCTAGTCCTATCAAAGTGTCTGAGGTCATGATTAACAAGATAAAAACTACTCTATACCAAAAAATTTACATCTTTAACATCAAAACCCTCTCTAAAACAAAAACGGACCATTTCAGCCCTCTAAACCCTCAAAAGCACATTTCAGAGTCCCCCATCCCCATCCCCACCACCCTCTCCCCTCTCCCCTAACCCCCACCCCTCCTCCCTCTTAACCTAACTCTTCACTCCAATCCCCCACTCTTCCTAACCCACAGCCACCCAAAGTTTCCTCTAGCTGCTGGTCAATGCACTTTTCTAGGTTAAAACAAATCTGAGAATTTTTGTACTAGGAAAAGAAGGAATTTAGGCGGATTTTTGGGGCTGAGAGAGATTTTGACCGGTGAGAGAGGGAGGTTTTGGGGGTTTTGGGGATTTTGGGGGAGGGAAAGTAGGATTTTGGGGTTTTGGGGGAGTAGAGCAGAAGGTTGGGATTTTTAGAGTGTTTTGGGGGTTAGGAAGATGGGGGTTGTGAAGGTGGATTTTTGGGGGTAGGAAATTGGGAAATATAGTAAGGAGGGTTGAATTCGAGGCTAGAGGGTTGTTGAGATGCTGAGTTTTTATGGAGCATGAAGCTTTGTTTTCCAAAATTGTCAGATTTAGGTTGGTAATTTCGTAGCTGAGGGATCTTAAATGATCAAGACGAGAGGTACTAAAAGTGGATATCGTATTATTAGGCTTTAACAAAGCAGAATAAGAATGATTCAGACTAAGATGGATTCATTTCAGTAGAAGATGGGTATAATATTGATGACTTCCTCAAAAGCTTTGTTCATTTTCCAGAAGCCTGAATTACTGGCAATATGCATAACTTGTACTTCTAAACTTTATGAAGCCAAGCTCTCAAAATATTATGAATCAGATTATTCTTTCTAATGCAACTAGATTCATCCTATGAGGTTTTTCAAGTTGGATATTTTCTAAGATCTATAGAAACACAAAAAGAATTTTCTAATTTTAGCAAATTTAAAAACTTTTCAAGATTTCAGAATTAGCCGAACCGACTAAAAATAATATTTTCAGACGATTATATTACTTCCAAGGATAGAAATCTTATAATATTGAGAGCTAGGCTATATTACTTTGAAATCTGTTTAGGTCAGCAATATTTCTTGCACTGCTCTTCTTAACCTCCTTCTTTATGTATACAAATTTTAGATATTTGAAGTGAACTAGAAGACTTTGATACAAGCATTTGCCTAAAAAAAATAAGGCATGAACCTTGAGAAACAAATTCTTACTCAGGAATCACATCTAGGAGCTCTCTATTACTTTTCTTCCTTTTTTGCTATGACTCAAGATAAGTGAAACAAATTTTGTTCTGGATGTAACAGTAGTGTTTAAAACCCCCTATAAGTCAGTAAAAGTTATAAAATCTTGCAAAGCTATGAACTGGCTGCATCTACTCAAACTGCTCATCTCCAGTTAGTCTCACCAATCTTTTTTATAACGGCCAACATCAAGGACAGAAGTTTCGAAATGACCAGAAGTCCTTTCTGTTAAACAACAAATGTTCTTTCTGTCTAATTAATATTTACTGGCATCAGCTGTTCTTTCTGACACTGTATCTATGTATCACAATACTTCAGACTTCGCTGTAAGGTATCTTCGCTCTTCTTTTAGAGCTTCTTCTCTATCCATAACACAAAACCCTAGTCCTATAAATAATAATCGGTCTTTGCCTCATCAAATTGCTTAAACTTCGCCTTCATCTTTAGAAACGGATAGCTACTTCATAAAAATTCGTTAATAAAAATTTCCAAATTTTGCTAAAATAGGCTGATTCCTTCATGAAAATTCCCCTCTATTGCTTAAGCCTTGCTAAGCTCTTTTAGACTGAGTTAAAATTATCAGAGCGATGGTGTCTTCCTGACTGGCTAAAGGACCAAATAAGCGTAAAAATCTAAGGGTCTGAAACTTCATGTTTTTAAGTGAGTGGCAGTCTGAACTGACATTTTGTGCGAGGGCAGTGGCGCTTTAGTGATTAAGTCTGAGCATTTTGAAGAAATAGTAAGAGTTTAGCAGCATTTTGTGAGTTTAGGGAAATAGTTAATTGAAATCGACAATTTGCAATGTGGGGTTTACCTATTTCGGTTATTGGTGGTATGAGATGGTAGATGTTGAGTGATGAAGATATCAGTGTTGACCACATGTGTGAATAGAATTTTATTAGTTTAGTGGCTGACCATTTGTCATAGCTGCTCATATTTGTAAACTTTTAAAGCAGAAAATCAAGCTCTTGTTATATTAAAATGAATTAGTCATATTTTTATTCTTTCTAAAACTTTCTTAGATGAGTTTTATGAAAATCTAGAGACTTTTGGCCTTGATTATTCTCAACCCAGACTCATACTTCTTTATTCTAAATTCTCGTTTAAAAATAAGCCTTATCTTGTGACTAGACGATACAAGAGTTTCAGCCTATTTCTTTCGGTAATGTTAGACAAAGACGAAATTTTATATAAATTTTTTTAAGATACGCTAAATTTCATACTCAAAGTTTTTCTTACACTTCTCTATTTAAAAATAACTTCAGCCATCCCACTTTGCCAAATTCCTTTGTTCATAGTTAACAGAGAGTAAGTTTTAATGAAGGTTGAAGGGCTTTATATGCCCATTTTTGGGAGTCTTCATACATATTGCTCTTAAAGTTTTGTGACCTAGAAGAGACTTGAAAGTCCTCCATTATTACTTCTTATAATTCTTAAGAGCATATAAAAATAGTCTGAAGTATTTCCTATAAAAGATACAGAAATGAGTATATCATGGCTAAAACTAATTTATTTTTAGAATAGGATTAGTCTCTTCTTTCACTAAGCACTTTGAATTAATTATTTGCATATCCTAAATCCCCTTTCTAAGTCAAGCAAGATATTTCCTTTACTAATATTGCAAAATAGTTGAAATTTATTCGTAAAAACTCCTAACCAAAACAAAATCTACACCTATCTCACTCCCAAAACTAGCCCCAAAAAACTCCAAATCCCTGTCCACCCTCCTAAAATCCCTTCTAACCCCTTAAACCCTCATTTTCCTTCTAAAATCTTCCTTCCCAAAAATTTCCTCCAACCTCAAGTTCAAAATCTAAAAATGTACCAGTCAAAGTTCCCAAAATCTAGCCTTGAACGTCCACATCCCCTCCGTGTGCTTCACAAGCAATAAGTCCTGGTCAGGAATGGAGGATTGGGCGGATATGAATGCGTGTGGAGAGATGGGGGTATTGAAAGGATGGGTAGGAGTGAGTAGAAGGAAGGCTCGATATTGGGAGGAACATATGGAGGGGATGTGGCTGAGCGTTGTTGGGGTAAGGTATATCGAATGTTTTCAGGTCAGGATTTACAAACTTGTAAACCTGTTTTTTGTGTCAAAAATCATATCATTTTTAGAAGTTCATTAGTTTTATGTTTTATAATAAAGCAAGTTATAACTTTTGACAATGACAGAGTACTCTTTCTACTCTTTTCTAACTCTTTATCCTGATAATTTAATAACTTGAGAATCCAGGTTGACGGATCCAACCAAACTAGCCCCAAAATACTCAATCACTCACTCAAATAACCCAAATACATATCTCTCACTCCCAATACCACCTCTTCTCCACCCCATCCCTCCCACACACCCCCACATCCAACCCCTGAACTAGAACCCCTGCCTTTTCCTTAAGAATCCAAGTAATTTTTATTTAAAAGTTATCCAGGAATATTGGTCCTTCAAGTAGGAATTTAGATACCCCTTTCCTTGTGGGCAGGCATGGCTGAAGTGAGCCAAGGGATTATTTTGATGAAAAGAGACTGGAAAGGGCCTGTTTGGGGAATTTAGCCAGATTTGTTGAGGAGTTTGGATGAATCTTGTGGTTTCTTGTAAAGGATCCTCTTCATAATTTCTGGCGAATCAAGTTCTTTTCAAGTGAAAGAACTCTTGTAGTTCTTTCTGAGCCTAGGAATTCGATTGTTACTGTGCATGGCTTGGCATCCTAAATCGTGGATAACCCATGGGTTAGAAGACTCTTGCTTAGTAGTCTGGAATTTTGAGACTTTGTCGTTTCACTTATTTTTAAAGATGTAGATGTTTACTTTTTGTTGGCTATCTGATTCAGAATCATCCGAATCCAGAGAGCTCAGTAAGTTCTTCTGAAAGGTCTGCAGGGTCCTACTGCTAATCTTTCCTTTGTTACAGATCAGAGGATTTCTTTTATCAGCTCCGAAAGTTTTTGAAGCAGTTCAGTTCAGCTTGCATGAAGGCTCATCTTCAATGAAGTTACATTCATTTTCTTCGAATCTCTATAAAAAGCGGTTTAGGAGAGTTTCAGACAATATGGCAATGATGCAAAAATGATGTTTAAAATTGAGCCTGAAGATTAAGCCAAGCCTAAAGAATAGGGATAGATTTCTTGTGCTTAAATAGACAAGGATGATACTTAGAAAGGTGTTTACCTTATCAAAACAGGAACTGGAAGCCATCTCTTTCATGTTTAAAATATTGTTAATTATTATTTACTAGAAACATTTCTTTATATATAGTCTCAAGTGTGGAGCGATTAATCGGGGTTTTGGGGTTTTGGGGTTTTGGGGTTTTGGGG